AATATCAGCAGTTGTAAAGATTCTGAAGACCATATTCTGCCCTCAGCGACACCTGTGCCGCTCCATTGTAGGCTTGCACAAGTGTAACTGACTGGAGCTTACTGCACAGTTCTGATGATGATGCGCAAGATACAACAGAATGCAGCTCATTGTCTAAACTGCGTTGGCTCTTTGCAGCTAACAGCGGTAAAAAGCAATAAACTTCGTTTTGGCAAAAAGAAAAGGAGGACTTGTGGCACCTTAGAGACCAACCAATTTATCTGAGCATAAGCATCCGATGAAGTGAGCAGTAGCTCACGAAAGCTCATGCTCAAATAAATTGGTTAGTCTCGAAGGTGCCACAAGTACTCCTTTTCTTTTTGCGAATACAGACTAACACGGCTGCTACTCTGAAACCTTAGTTTTGGCACTACAGGAAGTAGATCTGACTCTGAATACACAAGCAGCAACTCTGTTGAGTAAAGAGATACCATTCTTATATATACTTTAAGTATTGCACTTTAAGAGGACTCAGACACTATAGCCTCTATAGAAAATAGATCCCTTATTGTTCTGGACTTGGACCTTTCAGAAAACCCTTTTTAATACCAGAAATGCTATTATATACATTTTTGCAGAAATCCTGACTATCACACAGATGGAGGCAGTATGCTCTCAGTCTCGCCAATGTCTGGGAAAGTTCTACAAGCTGCCAAGGAGTAACAAGGATATTATGCTTAAAGGAGCCCAATTGTTTTCCTTCCCCTGATGTTTGTCATATTACCCAAGACAAAGGAAAGGCTTCAATGTCTGAGAAGCGAGCTCTTCTGCCAGAGAATGTGTAGACAGCCACCCCACACCCAGCCAAACTACATGTTATTGAAGACAATAATCTTGTTTGTTTTGGGACAAAAAGAGTCAGCCCTGAAGCTACTGGGGTAAATATAAGCAGATGAGGCTGCAGACAACTGGAAGCACAAGATAAGATAAAGGTATCTGCCCTCAATTACACTCAGGCAACCCCCACTGATTTCAATTGTTTCAGTCAATGAGATTGCATGGGTGTAACTGAAGGCTGAACTTGGCCTAGAAACTTAAAATATTGAGTTACAACATGCTGATCTAGTCCAGTTTCAGCTCAGATGAGTGGAGGTTACCAAGATATTAAATTGCTGCTCATGTAATTATATTATGAGGTGGTATCTGCAAGCTGAGCTCCTGGTATGCATATAATTGCCTGTGCCCATGATAGTCAGTACTCATTCACTGCGCATGGGCAAGCATTACACATACACACTGGGCAAGGTATTGACTGCCTTGGCTGCACGTGCTAATTTTAGTTTGTGAGCCTGCTTCTGTGGGTGCCGTTAGTTGCAAGCACAAAACCAGAGGGGCTAGAGCTGAAAGCTTGGCCCAGGGCATGGCTACATATTTAGAAAAGATAGCATTTAGCACTCCCTGCCCTCCCTCCCCCATCTTCTTCCCCACCCCAGTCGTCTCTCTCACACACAGACTGGGTCACATTTTCAAGAAGGTGGTCTCTTTTCTGAGCCTGCAAAACTTGTGCCCAGCCATTCACTTGAGGGATACCAACTGACTGAGCGCAAAATCTGAGTGCAAACTGTACCTGCAGAAAGGTACATAGGTACCATAGCAATATTGGGAACTTTTTGTTACACTTCTAAGCTGTGTCATTCACTAGGTCTTGCCTGGTGCAATTTCTCAGATATCCCCTCTACAAAGTCTGAAGAATGAGGTAGCTGCAGAGCACAATGCTTTCCTCATCCTCTACCAGCTCTGGTCCCATCAACTATTCCATTACCCCCGTCTTGTGGTCTAAGTCTCGAGTTGCTTCAGTTCAGGCATATCAGTTCTTGCCAGATTAAAGAAACGCCAACATATGAGCCTGGACGACCCAGGTTGTAGCTAAAGACAATAAAACTAGTCAGATTTAAAAACAATTAAAATGCCTTTTGCTTTGGTTTTTGTTGTGCGTGTCTAATCAGTAAGAGAGACTATACATTACAGAAGTGTTCCACTCCTAGCATAGCATAAAGCAGACTGAAGCATGGAATTGGTCGGTCTGCTTCACAAGATACAATGCTATAGCCTATGCTACTGCTTTCTAACACAATAACCCTATCTATAAAAAGTATCCTGGCAACTCTAATGCTTTGGCACCACATAATGCTTTGTTTGCTTGTGAGCGACATATAACTTGTAAGCAACATCTGCCCCTGCGTAGATGATGCAGTCGGAGACAGACCGGCCCGGCCAAAGGCTTTTTGCTGGTATAGTAATGTCGGGGGGTGATTTTTTTGGCAACTAGCAAAAGCCCGAGTGTAGATGCAGTTATACCAGGATAACTGAGATTACACTTGGGGAACCTGTACAGTATATGCTGGAAGAAGCACTTTTTTTGCTGGTATAAACTGCATCTACACTGGGAGGGTTTGCCTGATAGCTACACGAACAAACCTTTTGTAGTTTAGAGTAGGCCTAAGGCAAAATAGGCTTTTACTGCTGCTCTGCTTAGCTTCTGCAAAGAATCTGCATCACACTCACAATATGCACTTCTCTAAGAACAAATGTATTTACATTCAGACAGAGAGTTAGCAAGACCATCTGCAACGCAGCCATCTGGTGGCTCCCAATAACATTACACCAGTGATTGAAGAGAGGTGATTAGCACGAGCTAACTTGGCATCACTTTTAAGTAAAGATAAGAAAGTGATCATTCATGAGGAGCAAGAAAAATTAGAATCCCATACACATGGACAGGTAGAAAATGAATATGCACATGAATATGAATCACCAACGTAATTAACATTAAGAAAAGGAGTACTTGTGGCACGTTAGAGACTAACCAATTTATTTGAGCATAAGCTTTCGTGAGCTACAGCCCACTTCATTGGATGCATTCACTGTATTTTCCACTGAATGCATCCGATGAAGTGAGCTATAGCTCACGAAAGCTCATGCTCAAATAAATTGATTAGTCTCTAAGGTGCCACAAGTACTCCTTTTCTTTTTGCGAATACAGACTAACATGGCTGCTACTCTGAAACCTGTAATTAACATTGTTCAAGATAATCCCAGTCACACCCTAACAAGGAGTGAGTCAGACTGTGCTCTGGCTCCTGAGGCGCTACTATCCAGTGAGCCCTAGCCTCTAGATACAGATGGACATGCTGTGAAATGGAAGTGCTCAGGCTGTTGATAACCACCCATTCTAGGGCCCTGGGCCCCAGTTCAGCTGTGGATCCCTAGTCAGCATAGCACTGAAGTGTGTGTTTACATTTAGGAATGTGCTTAAAGGGAGATTTTCAAAGGCACAAACTGACTTGCGGTGAGAGCTGGGTGCCTAACTGCCTTTTGTGACATTCACAATCTTCCCTATTGGTTTAATGTGGGGCTTGAGCATGTGCTTAAAGTTAAGCATAAGCTTAGTTCTTTGCTGACTCAGGATGGACTTAATCACTCTAAGTGCTTTGCTGAACTGGGATCTTGATGAGAACCAGCGTAAAATGTAAATTTGTTAACCTAGTGAGAATGCCCCCGTGTGAACTGTTGGAGAACCCTCATTTTAATGAGGTGCCATGTGGAGAATGCAGAGACAATGAAGCACTCATGTGAGGGCTTCCGCTTGTCCACACATCCAAGAACAGGGCTAAGATAAAATATTCACAAGTGGGCAGATTTTCAAAACGCTCAGTACAGAGCAACTCCCCTTTGCTCTCAATAGGAGCAGTTGGGTGCTGAGCACTTTTGAAAGGGTAGGCATAGGTGTTAAAGGAAAGAGGCACTCATTAGTGAACATGTATAACTATTTATTTTTCAGGCTGTTTGCACAGGGAAACAGCAAACAGGTAGATCTATTTGGCTGATTTCTCCAGAACTTTCTCCAGCTTGTCTCCTTCCAACCTAGGCCCACAATGTAATTAGTCCTGGTCTTTCATTCTTGTTTCTGACCTTCATTTATGTAACGCTGGATCTTTCCAATCATTCCAACCTCTTCTCTATACTGTCCTGTCCATTTTATGGACACCTGGCATTTTAAATAGTTTTACATGATATTCTAGCAATTCACATTCACACAGAGTGTTGTCTGATCTCAAGACAGCATTACATAAGCACACGATAAAATCTCCAGAGATTCCTCTTTTACCTGCTGGTTGAACAGCGTAATCCAGAGTTTCAAAATGAAGTGACATGCTATGAAACTGTTGCGATATATTTCACAATTTTTATCATCATTTTCTCATTGTTTATAATAACCTATTGGAACTGAAATCTTCCCAGACAGAATGATCTTCCCCAATCAGCACCCATCCACTGGAGTGGACTTGTTTGTTTTGGGAGGTGGACTTCAGAAAGGGCAGCATTAAAAGGATTTAGTCTGAAAGAAAAGTCAAAATCAAAATATAAACTTGAACATGTTTTACACAATAAATCAAGCTGAATTTTGTGAGGGTGGTGCACTCGAAGGTGTGTTCCTTTCCAGTGACACTCAGCCCAAAGGCTCTTGTGCAGGCTCTGCACTGGGCTGAATTTCACCAACAGAGTTCAAAAGCATTTTCATGAGAGAGACCATATAAAATACTATGTATATGCAACATAAGTTGACCTAGGAGGCAAGAGCTGGGTTTGCTGCCTTTTAGTGAAGCAAGAAGAGAAATGTAACATTGTCATAGCACTTTGTCTTCCAACCTAGACAATCACTTTTATTCCATGAATACCAGATCCTTCTCTGTTATAATCTAGGACATTGGTAGATAAAATTCCTACCCACAACAAGCCATGCTTTCTGCCACTGAATTGAGGGAGATGCAAAACCAATGCCCAGCACAATTGAAGTACTGGTTGTCCACATGCCATTGATTTCAAACACTTGCAATTCTTCACCAACATGTTTCCCTTGCCATTAAGGCAGCACGCAGGAGTTACAACTCTCCAGGAAGATCTCATTTACCACTTGGTGCCAGCATGCTCATGTTTTATCTTTCCCTTATGAACTACAGGCACTCGGATGTGGGTGTGTTGCCCAAGACGTCCTTAGCCGAGGGGCCATGGGCGGGACTGTAACAGTAGCCGTTGGATTTGCAATGGCAGTCACCATGGCAGTGTATGTATCCGGGGGCGTGTCTGGTAAGTCTTTTTTTTTTTTTTTTTTGTGAAGCATGCATACCACAGCTTTCACAGATTTATATATAGTCTAGTTTCATGGTATTCTTATCAGATACACATTTAGCAACTTCAGGTTGCTGTCTGCACCATTATAGCAGAGCATAGATCAGATCTTCCATTAACCCCATCCCTCCCCACACTTTCCTTTTTCAGTATTTAATAAATTCAGCCACCAGTTTCCATTCTGGACCTAAACACATAACACTAAGGCCCCTCAGAAACCTGGTACTTACAGTAAGTGCTTTGCACCAGGTCAGAAAACAGCCAAGCCACTGCCCTGAGGTTTCCTCAACAGAGAGGGCTCCCTGGATAGCACAGGAGCCATGTTAGGGTAATGGCCAGGAAAAGCTGCTAGAGTCTAGCCATGCCCAGCTACTACAATGATTCCCAGCTGGGCACAAGTTAGAGTGACCCTGAAGTTGCTCTAACTTGTACCACTAGCCAGCCCTACGATCAGGGATGTATAAAGGTGACATACAGATACCTTTCCCATCCCCTTCCCCATGTCTGCAGCACAGGGAGCCGAGCCAGACTACAGATCTAGGTCTCACGTCAGTAAAGTGTCTACCTCCTCCTCCCACCCCCAAGATTTGTAAAATAATGTCAGTTTGGTCACTTTTAAGAATCAGGCATGACAGAAATCAATAAAATAATAATTCTCTTCTTGTACTGAGAGACTTTCCCTTTGTTTCGCTGTCTACCTTTGAGGTAACTCAGTACAGTACCAACATGCAGCACATTTATACCTTCCCATTCAGCTCTGACCAAATTGATCCTGGGAGCGTTTGTATACCTGCTTTCAGCTCGAGTGTTTATTCTGAGTTAGCTCTCGCCCCTAAAAGGGAAGCTTGGATTTTTTGTCTATAAGCAAAATTAATTGCCAGTGAAGAGGAGACTGCCATGGTTAAAGTTAAAGGGTTCCCTTGCCCTCTAGTTTCGGTTGAGGAAACTGTGACCACTGATAAAGAGGGGCAGTTCAGCCTAGCAATAAGCATGTAAATCTAGTTGCCTTGGAAGGAATTGCTGTGGCTGTTTGTTTTCTCCTCTCTAGTGTGTTTTTACGCAGACAATTCATTGAGATAACTGACTGAGAGGATGTTTCTAGGTTCATACCAAGAAGTGGTTCAGTGTATTGTGAAACAGCCAGATCTCATTACCTCCACTCAGACAGATAAGTCAATAGTACCACACCAGCTTAATTTGATAGTACAATATGTCGGAATGCTGTTCTAATCTGAGCAAGGATTAACTACGGCTGTTCCTTGTGATGTGGATAGGGTTCAGTTAGGTCTTCCAATGCAGCACTATGAAAATAATCTGGAAAGCACATCTCACTTTTTGTACCTTTAAAGGATATTCATCTGAACCTGTCTAAAATATATGGGGCTCGACTGTGGCAAGGTTGCAAAGCTTTTTCTTTGAGAAGGGATTCTGCATGCAGCAAACTTTCTCTAGGAAAGACCAGATGTGTCAATAGGATGCGACAACCCAACATCTAATGATTTGTATATGTAGTAGAATATCTGCCTCCACATAGCCTCATTAATAAACCCTATGGCTCACTGGAATCCTGTATTCCCATGGCTAAGTGCTGCTGACATCCTTCGCATTGGTACTTTAGGAAATTCTAACTCCCTGTATCATATGGTTAAAGGTCTGGATAATCTGAGCTTTCTTCTAGATGCCATTTTAAGGGAATTTCCCTTTTCCCCACCATTCTGGGGCTGTCCACATCCCTGTCAATGCCCTGAGAATTCCCCTCCCCACACTTTTTCCTCATTTCACTGTTGATGCTTCCCCATCCTTCTGGCTGAATTAGAATGGAAATTACACTTTCCAAAGCCTGTCAATGCTGTTATTTCGTCATTTGAAGGAGCAGCAAGTGGCTCAAAGACCAAGAATCTTGAGTCTCCCAAGTCAGTGGTAAATCCACCCAGTAGACTAGCCCATTGCAGATCTAATTTTATCAGCCATTTCTAATGAGCTCCTTTTCCAGGTTATAAGCATCTCCCCTGCATGTACTCGCTAAGAACAGGTGGGGGATTGTTGAAAGAAAATAAAATTCTTCCTTTCAGATAGAGTAAGGAAAAAGAAAGAAAAGACAAGAACATATGAAATTCCACATGAAGGATTGTTAAGTTCCAATCCATCTATTAGCTCTATGATGAAGAATTAGAAGAATTCATTCCAGATTGATGCCACTAGGTGACAGTTTTGGAAAGGATACAAGGGACGTCTTTATCCTACTTGTTATCTGTGTTTATCTGTTCACATGTCATAGGTGCTTATGTTTCACAAGAAGATAACACAGTGCAAGTAAACATGGAAATAGGAGAGAGACACCCTTTCTCCATTGCTATCCTTTGACAAAGGTCACTTTCTTATATACATATTATCAAAGACAATGGCCATCATTTTTCTTACCTCAATATATCCCTGAATGTGACTTTACCTGGAAGTTACCACATGGCATGTTCTACATTGTAGCAAAATCCAAATTCATCATATTTATATTTTAGATATCTTGAAGTCTACTTATTACAGTAACTAGAAATATGCATTTCTTAAGAATCTACTGCACATCCAGCAATAATGAGGTTTACAAAGGCATTCAACACTTTTCCCCAATGCGGATGAAAAGGTGTTGAGGGAAGTGGATAATACATGACATAACAAACAACATGATTCAGATGTTGATAATGAAGTTGTTACAGTAAACTCAGCTACTGGAGAAATCTCGTCCTTCCTAAATATCTAGGTACTTACATGGTCCCTGTCACAAATGCATCTGAGCATTTCCGAAATATTTAAAAATAGATCCCTCTGCGTCCACAGGGTCACCCCAGCAGCCCCCTGACCACACGCCCTCCTGAACTCAGCATACGAGTGTGGTGAGGGTCAAGAGTGTGTCTATTCACTGGTGATCCCTAGATTCCAGATAGCCTCTAGCCAGCACACCTGAGCAGTCTGAGGTGATTTTACTTAATGCCAGGGAAGGCTCAGTTCCCATCCAGCCCCAGGATCAAAGAGGGCAGCATAAAGATGACTTAATGCCACCTTCTCCTGGGTGCAGCTCAGATGTAGCCCAGAATCCAGATCAAGATTAGCAGCATGACCAAGTCAACATTACTTCTTAATCTTAATAAATGCTTGGGAAACAGAATGAACAGTCAATAACATTCCAATGAGACGCCCTCCCCACAAATACTGAGAAGAGTGAGCGGTAGCAAAATAACCCCATTGCCGAGCAAACCTAGGCACATAGTCTAGTGTTCAAAAGTGCTCACATTTTTACAAACACTCCACCTCCTCCTATTTCTCTGTGTTGTCTATATTATCGGTATTATTTTGTGATTTATTTTTCAGGTGGTCACATAAACCCAGCTGTTTCATTAGCCATGTGTGCAACTGGAAGGTTGAAATGGACCAAATTACCTTTTTATATATTAGCACAATTCCTGGGAGCATTTGTTGGAGCAGCCGCTGTCTTTGGGATTTATTATGGTGAGTATATAGTAGACACACCTATAGGACTTGCTAGAAGTAAGGAAATCTCTGAGACCCTAATGCTTCGATGAGTTCCAAGCAGGCACAGAGGTCTGCCACACACAGTTCATTGTGGGACTGGGGCCTATGTCACAAAAGAGAAAGGAAGAACTAAGGGGGAAGGCTCTGACCTCCCAAGTGTTCGACAACACTTACATTTCAGAAAACAGAAAAAGTTCTGAAATGTAGGAAAAATGACTCATTCTTGGGAAATTAGATACTCTAAGAACATGTATTTCTCACAAAGACTTTTACTTATTTAATTCTTAGCATGTATATAGGGCTCCTCCTCCTCCAAGGACTTTAGAAATATTAAAGGACAGATCCAACAGCCCTTATGTGAGTAACACCAACGGTGTTCAGTGAGACTTCAGAGTGGGAGATGAAGTCCCGCCTGACTAAATCTCATACCACCTCTTTGAGCTAGGTATTAACCCTATTTTATAGATGGAAACTGAGGCAGAGGGGTTAAGTGGTCACATATTAGAGGCAAGACTAGAATGCAGGAATTTCTGACTCCCCACTCTGTCTGGGCCATATTGTGGTATGATAGAAAAATAAAATGTCAGATTGGATATTTATAGGCTTCCCTGGCTAGATAAATCCTCCAGGATTAGGTCATTTCTTTAACCTCTGATTTTTGTTTAAAAGGACTCACGCCATGCTTCTGTGGTCCCATCCTTAATTCTGTTGATCTCTGTGGGTGTTTTTATTTCATTAATGCTCTTTTTCTTTGTTTTCTGCTACTGTCTCCTAGAATCTAGGATTACAGGAATTCTCTTTTCTCCCATTTCCCTAGGCCCTGTACTATCTCTCTCCTTTAGTCCTCATTCAATCCCTACATCCATATATGCACCTCCCATTATACTATTGCTTGTAATTCCTGAAGCCAGGTAAACTCTTCCAAAGCACCAAAGTGACTTAGGAGCCCAAGTCTCATTTTAAAAAGTGATTTAGGCACTTATGTGCTTTTTATCATTTTACCCCACATCACTTGCCTGTGCTATTTTCTTTCACCACCAATGATGTCCCAGGGAGAGATGATACTTCACACAACAGAATTCTGTGATAATTTGACTGATGTACATATGGAATTTTTAAAGATATACAGAATTAAACAAAAGTAGGGCACAGTTAAAAAGTTTTCTTTTCCCTTTTTATTAGTAGATAGTTGTGATGGAACCATCCACCAATGAGAAGGAGGGAGCCCGAGGGGGGAAAACTAGTCAAGAGCTAACCCAAAAGCCATTCACAGTTAAACTAATCTCAACTCCACACAAACCTAAAACAGAGAAAACAACCATGGGGTGTAGATGGCAGAGGTTTTTTTCTTTAGCTTGGCCTTTTATTTCAAAAAGTAGAAACCTGGGCACTCTTACCTCTGAGAAGTTTCTAAAACCATTTTGGGTCTCCCCGGCTCTAGCCAAAGCCAGCAATACTTACCAGTGACCTCCATTATGATATAGGTGAGACTATTTCTATGCTCACATAGCATCACTTGAAGGCAGGAGTGTGGCACAGAAAGCAATGCTCAGTTTCTTCTCATTGTTTGTTTTTCATGGGTGCTTGGTGCTGGTGATCCCTTCCTTAGAATCACAGAATATCAGGGTTGGAAGGGACCTCAGGAGGTCATCTAGTCCAATCCCCTGTTCAAAGCAGGACCAATCCACAACTAAATCATCCCAACCAGGGCTTTGTCAAGCCTGACCTTAAAAACTTCAAAGGAAGAAGATTCCACCACCTCCCTAGGTAATGCATTCTAGTGCTTCACCACCCTCCCAGTGAAAAAGTTTTTCCTAATATCCAACCTAAACCTCCCTCACTGCAACTTGAGACCATTACTCCTCGTTCTGTCATCTGCTACCACTGAGAACAGTCTAAATCCATCCTCTTTGGAACCCCCTTTCAGGTAGTTGAAAGCAGCTATCAAATCCCCCCTCATTCTTCTCTTCCGCAGACTGAACAATCCCAGTTCCCTCAGCCTCTCCTCATAAGTCATGTGTTCCAGTCCCCTAATCATTTTTGTTGCCCTCTGCTGGACGTTTTCCAATTTTTCCACACCCTTCTTGTAGTGTGGGGCCCAAAACTGGACACAGTACTCCAGATGAGGCCTCACCAATGTCGAACAGAGGGGAACGATCATGTCCCTCAATCTGCTGGCAATGCCCCTACTTATACATCCCAAAATACCATTGGCCTTCTTGGCAACAAGGGCACACTGTTGACTCATATCCAGCTTCTCGTCCACTGTAACCCCTAGGTCCTTTTCTGCAGAACTGCTGCCTAGCCATTTGGTCCCTAGTCTGTAGTGGTGCATGGGATTCTTCCGTCCTACGTTCAGGACTCTGCACTTGTCCTTATTGATTTCTTTTGGCCCAATCCTCTAATTTGTCTAGGGCCCTCTGTATCCTATCCCTACCCTCCAGCGTATCTACCTCTCCTCCCAGTTTAGTGTCATTTACAAGCTTGCTGAGGGTGCAATCTACGCCATCCTCCAGATCATTAATGAAGATATTGAACAAAACCGGCCCCAGGACTGACCCTTGGAGCACTCCACTTGATACCGGCTGCCAACTAGACATGGAGCCATTGGTCACTACCCGTTGAGCCAGACAATCTAGCCAACTTTCTAACCACCTTATCATCCATTCATCCAGCCCATACTTCTTTAACTTGCTGGCAAGAATACTGTGGGAGACTGTGTCAAAAGCTTTGCTAAAGTCAAGGAATAACATGTCCACTGCTTTCCGCTCATCCACAGAGCCAGTTATCTCATCATAGAAGGCAATTAGATTAGTCAGGCATGACTTGCCCTTGGTGAATCCATGCTGATTGTTTCTGATCACTTTCCTCTCGTCTAAGTGCTTCAGAATTGATTCCTTGAGGACCTGCTCCATGATTTTTCCAGGGACTGAGGTGATGCTGACTGGCCTGTAGTTCCCTGGATCCTCCTCCTTCCCTTTTTTAAAGATGGGCACTACATTAGCCTTTTTCCAGTTGTCCGGGACCTCTCCCGATCGCCATGAGTTTTCAAAAGGTAATGGCCAATGGCTCTGCAATCACTTCTTCCTGGTCAGGCAGGGTGCCAAGGTGGCAACTTGTTTTTAGATAGTTAACACGCTACAAACTCACAGACAGAAAGTTATGAATCTCCCGCCCCACCACATGGGCAGTGGAGGGTGGCAGACTGGCTGAAGCAAAAGGAAGGTGGAGCAAGGGAACTATTCAGGCAGATTTCCATGGCCTTGGAGCCCAGCCCAAGTTTGACCCAGTTCTAGTAAGAGCTCATTCCAGGTTAGGATCCAGGCAGAAAATCTGGAAAGCTGGATCTTTAGGACCAGAATTTTGTTACCTCAAATTTTATAAGTCAAATTACAGAAAGCTTTACATTAAAATACCTTATTTTGATACATATAATGGATTCCTCATTTCTTTCGGTCCTAATGAGTTTTCCCCACAACACCATACTACAGCTGTAGTGTAACAATAAGATATTCCCTTCTCAGCCAAGATTTTCAAAACTGAGGGGTGTTTTGGATGTCTGACTTGAGACACCTTAAAGGGACCTGACTTTCACAGGGTGGGTGCTTAGCACATGGTGATAATCAGGTCCCTAAAAGGTGTCTCAGGTTTAGCACCCAAGAATCGATCACAAGTCACTTTAAAAAAATCTTGGCCATCATGAAGACCAATGCTAGAAGTGGTAATACTTTACGTACAGATAAAAAGATAAGAGAGAACTAACCGTGTTCTGTCTGCTATTTAAAAGAAAAAGTACGTTGGATGACTAGGAAAATGAGAGAGCCATTTCTTTTAGGCTTTAGCCCTTCTTTTAGGAGGGACTATAATTTGGGAAAGGAATGCAACTCTGAAGACATTGGTTAACACTAAATTAGATAGAGAAATTAAGAGTAATAAGGCACCAACTCCCATGCCACCAAGCAGGGCCTTCCAGGGAGCTGAGCTCTTTGGCTGGGGAATGGCCACATCTGAGAGAAGTGACTCCCTTTTCCAGGCTGGCAGATGTTCAGGTATCAGAAAAGTTGGTTGAAGTAAAGCCCTCACACAGAGCAGGGAATGCAAGCTCTTTTGGGGCCAGAGATGTCTCAGGAGCGTTCCTTCACCCCAGCAAGGGACTGTATAACATAATGTAATGAAAAAAGTAATGTGGCATTATTCCCTGGCTGCTGGTAACCTGAATGGTTTTACAACAGTAAAATCAGAATGCTGCTGAAATCGGATATCTGAAGATGTTATGTAAAGTCTAGAAACATTTTGCAGAACAATATAAATGTTTTCAAGACCAGGAAACTTTCCCAAGCACTGTTTGGGGCAGCAATCAGAAAGAAAGAACACATGAGCCTGGATTTGAAAGATGGAACGTAAGAGACAAGAGGTGCACTGCAGTGCCTGAATGCACAGGAGCAGAAATGAGACACTGTGGAGGTGGTTTTATCATTCCTCAGCCATAAATAAAACAGGATTCAATAGTTTCCAAATGAGAATGTGATGTGCAATTCCCACTGTATGTAATGTTGATAAGTAAGCATAACCAGGCAATGGATATGTTTTCTGTAGATGCATTCATGAACTACAGTGGTGGAGAGCTTATAGTTACAGGATCTAATGCAACCGCACATATTTTTGCAACCTATCCAGCTCCACATCTGTCCCTGATAAGTGGATTTGCAGATCAAGTAAGTACACAGAGAAAAACAAAAAAACCTAGTCTTGTTACATTTGTTGTCTTGATTGTAGAAACAAAATGTTGAAAAACATAAAATTGGCCAATAAAAAAACCCAACGATTAAAATTCTAACAACTGTGGCCAAGTTTATCATTTTGGTCACTCCTTGTTATGCATTATAGTAATGACAAGATATGACCATTTGCAGAGAGAAAATTTCATTCAGATTGCAATAGGGTGACCAGATGCCCCCATTTTATAGAGACAGGCCCAATTTTGGGGTCTTTTTCTTATATAGGTTCCTATTACCCGCCACCCCGTCCCGATTTTTCACATTTGCTGTCTGGTCACCCTAGATTGCTAGCAAAACTCTTTAAAATTGCTCTTTCCAGCTGTGAGAGCCATGTTAAAACCCAGGTAACAGCTATTCTTATCCACACAGTCTTTGGAATTCTTCTACTATTTTATGTTTGTCAGTGTATTGAGCCAGATCCTCAGCTGATGCAAATCAGCACTGCTCCCCTGTCTCCAGGGGAGTACACCAATTTATACCTGCTGGGGTTCTGGCCCATTTGGTACATGTATGTTATCCCTTGCTAAATAGCAGTTTACCCCTAGAACCACAGTCATTTATTTCTTACCTTTAACTCCCTCATATATGCCTCTTCACCCCACTCCGCACAAATTTTTGATGATTAAAGAAAAATTGAGAGGATCCACCAGAGCTATCAAAAGAATGGAAATTCCATTTGGTGAAGGATTTTGAAATTTTCAAAACATGGCTTCATTTCAAATCTGAACAAACCCTGAACATTCCAAAATTCTGTGCAAAAGAATTTTTTAAAAAAATTGTAGTGTATTGATCAATATTTTGCAACAAAGTAAATTTTTATTTTATATTAAATACATGACATACCAAAAAATTTCAAAATGAAAAGTCATTTCAAAGCAAATAATAAATAAATAAATAAATAATTCTTTCCAAAAATGTCAACATTGGATGTTTTGACACTGTCAGAACTCTCCCACCCCTCCACCCACACAGGTTTTTCTCCAAAATAAAATTTGGGGACATTGCCCAATTTTCCAAAGTATTTTGATTTTGTCAGAACTGTCTTTTCTCACAGAAAACTGTTTTGTCAAAGTTTTTCCATGCAGCTCTATTAAAAATTATGTCATAAATCATATGCACAAAGGGCCCAAATTAAGATTGTACAGGCATTGAAAATTCTGGCATTTCCTAACTTTTGAAAACTTTTGAGTGCTTAACTTAGTAAACATATTGTTCTTTAAATGTAGGTTTTGGATGTAATACCAGAATAAAGGTTCTCTCACTCTCTTTTTTTAAACTGTAAATTTAGGGGAGTAAGCTGTATCTGCATAAGTCACCTTTATACTGGTATATAAAATTTACCAAATTAGGAGTTGTACTAATTTAATGATATCAGTAAAAAATATCACACTCTTAACCAAAATAGCTAAATTACTACAAAAACCTGATCGTAGATGAGTCCTCAGACACTGGGGGACATCTCTCTTTCTCTCTCTCTCTCCTGCTCCACTTGTTCAGGCTTGTAAACAAATCTTGCCACTTCCTTCTCTACATTTCTAAGATTTGTCCTTTGCTTTCTGTTTAGACAGTCTCATCCTTTGTGTCTATGTACACACACACACTTTACATAAAGTTAACTAGAATCAAGCAGAGCTACTTGTGACTGTATGAAGTACTCAGTGGGTGGGAAAGGTGATTTTTCTTCTTCAGAAGCATCCTAGACAGCAAGAAAAGCAACCCTGGATACATTTCCAGGTAAGCACACTGGGCTGACTAATGGAAGTTTTGCCTGTACAGAGTCTGCAGGATTAAGCCCATCATCAGCAAATGGTTCTGTAGCAACATTTTTAATATGCATGGATGTTGTGTTTAAATAGTCACTTTGACTGACTATCAAAATGTGCAACAGGGACTGCTGAGCAAAGCAGAAATATGAAGCAATTAGTTTTGTGCGGGCAAAATCATTGCATAAAGGAATGTGATCTACCAGGTACCAGCAGCTTCAGTTTACATTGCATTTCTCTGCTTGCATTTTTCAGTATTTTTTTATCTATTATTGCTCGGGCACCTTTCTATTATGTGTTTGCAAATGATGAACATTTGGGTGGAGTTGGATTTTTTTTATTTTGGATGCTTACTGCTAATAAGGGACAAACCAGACCGTATTCCTATCACCTTGAACTATAGGGACAGTGGGATCACAACTGGGCTGCTCTGTCCTCTCTCCGTAGTGGAATGAATCTGATCATCAAATCCAAACTTCACCAAATTTGGGGGAAGTTCAGATTCTGATCCAGAAGGCCCCCTCTTTATTTAGAGTTTATATATATATTTATTCAATATATTTTCTTTTCATTGGACAGGTGATGTCAACAGCTCTTCTTGTTCTGATTGTCTTTGCTATTTTTGACACCAAAAATATGGGCGTACCAAAGGGCTTGGAACCAATTGCAGTTGGACTTCTTATCCTTCTGCTCACTTGTTCTTTGGGAATGAACAGTGGCTGTGCCATGAACCCAGCGAGGGACCTAAGTCCAAGGATTTTCACAGCTATAGCAGGATGGGGTTTTGAAGTATTCACGTAAGTAATTCTTGCATCAGTGGGATGTGAATATATCCCTGTTAAGTGTTCTGCTGAATGATTAAGACCCTGATCAAGCCTGGTACTTCAGCACATACCATACTCACCTGCATATGAAATAATCCCAGTGAAGTCTATTCATGTACTTGAAGTTTGACATGTGATAAAGTACCTTGCCTTAATGAGGATTTTCGGCACATCTAGAAAATAAAACTTGCATTTCCTCAAAGACCAGGTACAGTTTCAGACAGACTCTCCTAAAATAGTATGGGGTCTCAGATAACACTGCAAATAGCATAAAGGAAATGCTTTCTTCTCTCACGACAGTTTTCATAAAGAACAAAAACTGCTGTAGAGAGTCAGCAATTAGTACAGTGATAGGTGCACTAAAAGCCATAGCTAGATCAGACAAGGTGGGTGAGGTAATGTCTTTCATTGGACCAACTTCTGGGGGTGAAAGAGACAAGTCTCCGAGCTTACACAGCGCTCTTCTTCAGGTCTGGGAAAGGTAAGAAGAACTCTGTGTAAGCTCGGAAGCTTGTCTCTTTCACAGAAGTTGGTCCAATAACAGATATTATCTCTCCTACCTTGGCTCTCTAATATCCTGGGACCAACCTGGCAGCAATAATGCTGAAAACAACATAAACAGATCAGGCTGATTTGGACTGTTATTTGAAAGTTGAATGCATGTAATTGCAGAAATATGAAAAATCTAAAGGCCTGATTTTTAGGCTGTGTGATGCCTCCGTAGTTTTCATGTTTCAGCATGCACTCTCAAATCCCTGGTTTGTACACACTGAGCTGGCCAGGCACACAGTTAGCCATGTGCACATACCAAAAGCAAAGCTCACCTGTAACCAGTTGTATCCAGATGCCTCTTTTGTACATACACAAACAGCACTGTTTTCAAATCTTTCTTCAGGAGCAGGCTCCTCTGGTTGGTTAGTTTTGTATTGCTAATTATTTACAGGTAGGCATCCCAAGTACTCACCACAACTGCTTAAAGCCCCTAGATATCTACAGGATAAATATCCAGAGCACCTAATAGTCCATACAAAGACATTTAATACTACTACACAGCTCTTACGTAGCAAGTTTTTCTATCCATAGATCTCAAAATATTTATAAAAAGAGGCCAGTATCATTACCCCATTTTCCAGACAGGGAAACGGAGGCACAGAGTGCCTGTGAAATGACTTGCCCAGGGTCACGCAACAGGCCAGTGGCAGAGCTGGGAATAGATTCCAGGTCTCCTGAGTTCCAGGCCAGTGCTCTATCCACTGGACAATACTGCCTTCTAAAAAATGGAGCACATGCAATGTAAGATTTCATATCCGGGAAAAAAAATTTCATTATAAATAGGCAATTTTGCTGGAGAAGGTTGGGAAGCCTTGTCATACGGTAATCTAATCATAGACTCCCTAGGAACTCCCCTCTCCTCATATGAGGTGTCATACACATTTATATTTTAAAATCTACAGGAAAACTATGCTCAGAAGAAAATGCATTCGTTACCTGTTTCAGATCATTTCTGCTAGTGTTGCTTGGGATTTATAGTCAGGTGGGAAATATATCCACACTGAAAAGATCATATTGAGCATTTAAAAGGGAGAGCACAGAATGTCTGGCAGCAGATCTTTGAAACCACAAGAAAAAATAATCTGAGCAGTCTTAGAGACATATAAATTAAGTAGGACATCTTCCTCTCTGTCCTCATTTACCCTACAGCTGTAACTGGGGAACCAGTTACAACATGCTTGTTCCCTTACCCATTTACAACATAGTTCCAAGTTGGAGTACAGAAAGTTACATAGAGTGTTACATAACTGGGCTAAAACTTAGGTACAGTATGTTGGTTGCAGAATACAGATAAGGTCTTGAATATGCTGAAGTTTGAATAATATTGTAAGCAGGTCAGTGGCAGGATTTCTATAATCATTGTGGACAGATTTGGTTTTGCCTAACCCATGTTAGAAATGTGTTGTCAAACCATTCTGTATACTTCAGAGGGGGACAGAGAGGGTTGTCTGTAGTACAGTTTGGATAACTTACTCAGACAAGTAGGTCCTATTGAAGTCTACTGTCTCAACAGAAAGCCAAAGTTTTCAAGTTTATCCGTCTGAACAGGGCAATAATGCTTAACAGCCATGCTTAAACATGGTTTCCACTAACAGTTCTGGTTACAGTGGGGGGGAGGGGGCAGAGATTCAGATACAAATGCTCAACCTTGCAGTTGATTAGCTGGCAGGTTAACAAAATGTGAAGAGGTGATGAGCGACATTGCTACAGATGAGTATTTTGCTACAATATCTGAAACTATCTAGCAGCAGTGGAATTTTCCCCCCCTGTGTTTATCATACCTTCCTTTTTAACCAGGGCCCACGATGATTCCGAAAGGCTAGGTAAGCACGCAGTGTTTCCTTTAGAGATGTTAGCATTTCACTGACTAGCAGACTGAAAGTTCTGTATGAGCTGTGCAGCCAGTACTGTTCCTTTCAATATTACATCTGCAGTGTATTTAGACTCCCCTGAAACTGCCTCTGAATTCCTTTAGAGAGACAAGGTGGGTGAGGCAATGTCTTTTATTGGATCAACTTCTGTTGGAGAGAGAGACAAGCTTTCAAGCCACCCAGTGCCCTCTTCAGATCAGAATTCCTTTGTGTTGGGTTTTTTTTTTTTTAGTTATATTGTGTAGTAATAGTGCCCTCTGGTGGCTAGCTGCAAGAGATCAGTCCTAATATTTCCATACTGAAGCTTTAGGGATTTATCATCTATCAACTTCTCCTATTTAAAGGTTATAGGTAGCACTCAGATATCTACTGCCTACACACATCTCTGTTGACATGTCTGGTTTGAATGATGCAATTACCAAACAGCATTAACTAAAACCAGTTCTGTTCTGGAGAAGTCCAGAGGAACTACATAAGGCAGTGGTTCCCAAACTTGTTCCGCCACTTGTGCGGGGAAAGCCCCTGGCGGGCCGGGCCGGTTTGTTTACCTGCTCCGTCCACAGGTTTGGCCGATCGCAGCTCCTAGTGGCCGCGGTTCATTGCTCCAGGCCAATGGGAGCTGCTGGAAGCGGCGCGGGCCAAAGGATGTACTGGCCTCCGCTTCCAGCAGATTTTCTGCTTTGCCCAGTTTTGGGTGTAGCAAAGTGTGGAGCTATTACTGAGCTAATTACAGCTCCCCAAAGGACCATGAACCAGCTGGAGATGACCAGAGTGCAGTGTATTTCAGCCACTCCTGCTCCTCACCTATACCATGCTCCCTGAGCCAGAGGCTGCAGAAAAGAAAGCATAGGCATCAGCTTTGTCAGCTCTGCATCCACTGTGTTCTCTTTTGCCCTGAGCTGCAGCAGAGGTAACTACCTGCAAGCTCCCTTAGTCTTCAGTTGCATGAATAAAGTGGACAGAATGTGTCCCTTTAGTAGTAATGGTAGAGAAAATACTTTATCATCACAAAGACATAATTGGATGATTTCCTTCTGACCTGGCAGCACAGCTGTATGCTGGGCAATAGGAGAACTAAATGTGCATCAATGGAGCTAAGGGATGTCACAGAGTACTTGTCTCTGTTTCAGTGGAGGATGACAGAAGGTAATGGCAACTCACAACTCAAGCATGTCCTGATCTCCATTTAGTTTTGGCATCAGCTCCAGGGCAACTGCTCTTGCACCCTCCTAGCAGGAGGGAAAATGCCAGAACTTCAGTTATCCAGTGCAAGTAAGGGCCATAATTTAGAGAAGATAAAATAGAGAGCACCAGGGTCCCATCTTCACTGGCTTTGTTTGGAACAGCGACATGCACACACATGCAAGACACAGTTGGAGTTTTGCATGTGTAGATCAACGGCACAACGACTACTGAGTACACCTTGTCACAGCAATCCAGAGCCCAGACGGCCATTCAAGTCTGAGCAATGAATGGAGCCAAAACTCAGTGGGACAATGTCAAGGACTATTTTGTACCCTCTAGCAAGATCTTAATAACTCCAAAGGAGGAACTCCAGACTATGGCATAAAGACTGAGTAAAGGAAGAATAATTTCATGAAATGGACATTGTGAAGACTGCAACAAATACCACTGTACTTGTACTGTGGCTAAACATAAATTCACTTCCACATAAAATTATGCTGTCATGCACTGAGCAATTATTTATATAATTTTAAAATTAGATTTGCCATTGTTTGTAGTAATCTCCTAGAATCGTCTTCCAATAAAATCCTTTCTCAAATTAATTTATCTTTTTGTATTTGGGGAAAATACGTTCCCTCTTCATTTCCAATATGCATTAAATGTAAGTGACTCTTTTCTCCGTGAGAATCACATCTTCAATTGATATATCATGTTATTGAGCCAAAACAGCTCATTATACCAGCACAGTTGAGTATATCATCAGAGCTCCGGGACCAGTGCTCAGAATTAACTGCTGCTGTTAAGTGAATATGTCTAGGATACATACATATAGTAGCTTCCTGTATTACCCATAGACCCAGCCCCATTGAAATCAATGGCAAAATTTCCATTGACTTTAATGGAACCAAAATTTCACCCTTAGATTCTACAAGGGTTTCCATCAGGGTACTGCAATTATAATACGGCTCAGTTTTAGGCCAGCGTCTTTTTTAACTATTACTGAAAGAAAACCTCACACCTTAAAACAGAGATAATAAACTTCCTTATGAAACTTGAATCTTGACCACTGTAGTCAAGCATAATATACTTTACACTTTAGTATTTTAAACTATACTTTTCAACACACCCATAACATACTACGCTTCTCAAGCAAAATATTATATACTATGTGAATATAGGGCCTGATCCTGCAAATCATTCCTCATGTAAGCAGAAAAATTGAGACATACCTGTGCAATCATCACACTTGATGTTTCCAGCTGCCCATTAATGTGTGTTCATCATCTGACAATGTAGTGCACAAAATGTGTGTCATTTAATTTCACTACAAGCCAACAAATTTCAGCTTTCCCAAATTCCCCATCTGCTAAGGGTCTGGTAGTTAGGAAGCCTATTTTCTAAAGAACATATACAGTAATCGACCTATGGCCCAGGCGGTTGTTAGTATATTTCAACCAGAGTGTGTGCAGGAAGATAATGGTTGTCACCAATCTACAGAAACATTAGGTCAAAGTAAACATTTACCACAAGATATGATACAAAAACCTCACTGTGATAGGCATTCTAGCTATACAAAATATTGCAGTAAAGTCAATACCACCATACAGTGTTTATAACTCAGCTGCCAAACAATAGATACAATATTAGCAACACAGTGAACCATAATTCTGTTTTTCTTTCTTACAGGGCTGGAAATAACTGGTGGTGGGTTCCTACGGTTGCACCTATGATGGGAGGAGTAATTGGAGCTGTTACCTATATTATTTTTATTGAAATTCACCATTCAGATACACAGCTGGAAGAAGACACGGATATGTATGAGAAATATGAACTTACCAATATGGAGAAAGAAGAAAGAATTTGCGATCAGCACCCTGTTCGGATTTAAAGCAGAATGACTGTATAGGCCATTCTGCAAAAACTGTGCCTCAATTAAAGTACACACTTCATAAGTTACATGTGACCTGCACAGAAAACAAAGTCCAAAAAGAATTTCTTCCCCTGAAGCAGATTATTTCAAAATCTGGGACTTAAATTACTTACTTGCTTCAGGGAAAAAATTGCTGTCTTTTTTTCTGTGGTTTTCAGGTCAAGTTTTCTCCTCAATGAAATTGTAATGGGATGATACACTGACCTGCTAATTCAATCCATACAATCCATAAGTCAAGTGATCTAATTAACCATTAATGGATGAGGCACTGTGTCACAAAACTGCCTGCACAGAGACAGTTAAGTGGTCCAGTGCTGCATTATCATGTAAAGAAACGATTTCACTCATTACAGCCATTTATTAAAAAAAGGCATGTGCTGAAAAGATTATGCATTAGGAAAAATATCAGAATTGCCCGAAAGTTAATTGAAGTTGTTTGTACCTAATTTTGTATCTGGATATTAACTGGACAGCTGTGAAAGGATATGCAAGTGGTGAGGATTGAGAAAAGATAACATGTTGACAAAAGGTGAGAAATCTCTGTCTTGAGCTTTAGTCCAAAAAGACAATATTGATACTTTTGCTCAGCTTCTTCATAGCCATAACGCTCCAAGTAGGTTTTCAAACCATTTGATTAATCTTAATGGAATCTATTTAAAACCGAAACTAGATTATTCATCCAAATGTCTCTTGCTGTGTTCTCTGGGTGAATTTCATCCTTGCGCAGAGGGCCAGCAGCACAACGCTTACGCAATGCAGAAAAGTCCTATGCACTACTTAACGTTCTTAAGAGGCCTCGTGTGGGCACTCTGTACAGGATGAATTTCATCCTCTAAGAGGGAGCAATTTTTTGTTTTGGTAGCTTCAAGTCATCTCACAAAAACAGTCATTAAAATTAAAAATAGGTCCAAAGCCAGACCCTAGTTTCAAACTGCACTGAGCTCTGAGATCCAGACTGAGTTCAAATCCAGACAGCGTGCTCTCTCTCTTGAATGAAGATGGTTAGATGTATTCTACTTCCACACTATTTAGCTTATGCTAGTTAGTATCATTATCAAGTCCTCACTTTGAAAATCCAGTTTCCTGTTTTATCAATGTAAATTGAATGTGTCAAATTAGCTCAATGCAATCTCTAATTTTTATATGGCTGTTGGTGGTGATTGTGAATAAAGAGACTTCATGTTCAAAAGCCATGTTTCAAAAGTCGGTTATCAGCTCTATTCACTCATTTTAGGATATTATTGTTCCCTATTTAACGTCAATCCATCCTCTAAATCCACAACATTTTCTCCGAAGTATCTACACTGGGGAGTGCAGAACTCTTTTTATGGCCAACCACTCCAACAAATGACAAACAGAGGTGGTTTTGAAAATAACGTGGCCAGAAGCCTTCTCCCAATTTCCAGAGGGCAGGTCTGTTACTCCCCCTCCTTGACATAATATGCCAGTAAAAATCAGAGGCCCAGCACATGGCGAGCAAAAAGGTAGAAAATCATCTGATCAGACAAAAGCTTTATTTGAATTTGGATTGTTGACTGGACATTGATGATACCATTTACCTGAGGAGCTGCATAGAATCATAGGACTGGAAGGGACCTCAAGAGCTCATTTAGTCCAGTCCCCTGCACTCAAGGCAGGACTAAGTACTACCTAGAGCATCCCTGACAGGTGTTTGTCTAACCTGCTCTTAAAAATCTCGAATGACGGAGATTCCACAACCTCCCTGGGCAATTTATTCCAGTGCTTAACCACCCTGACAGTCAGGAAGTTTTTCCTAATGTCCAACCTAAACTGCCCTTGCTGCAATTTAAGCTCATTGCTTCTTGTCCTATCCTCAGAGGTTATCTCCCTCCTCCTTGTAAAAAGCTTTTAAGTACTTGAAAACTGTTATGTCCTCCCTCAGTCTTCTCTTTTCCAGACTAAACAAACCCAGTTTTTTCAATCTTTCCCCACAGGTCATGTTTTCAAGACCTTTAATAATTTTTGTTTATCTTCTCAGGACTTCAAAATTTGTCAACATCTTTCCTGAAATGTGGTACCCAGAACTGGACACCATACTCCAATTGAGGCCTAATCAGTGCGGAGTAGAGCAGAAGAATTATTTCTTGTGTCTTGCTTACAACACTCCTGCTAATACAGCCCAGAATGATGTTTGCTGCTTTTTTTTTTTGGCAACTATATTACACTGTTGACTATTTAGTTTGTGATCCACTATGACCCCCCCAGGTCCCTTTCCGCAGTACTCTTCCTAGGCAGTCATTTCCCATTTTGTCTGTGTGCAACTGATTATTCCTTCCTAAATGGAGTACTTTGCATTTGTACTTATTGAATTTCATCCTGTTTACTTCAGACCATTTCTCCAGTTTGTCTAGATCATTTTGAATTTTAATCCTATCCTCCAAAGCACTTGCAACCCCTCCCAGCTTGGTACCATCCGCAAACTTTATAAGTGTACTCTATATACCACTATCTAAACCATTAATGAAGATATTGAACAGAACCAGACCCAGAACTGATCCCTGCTGGACCCCACTCAACATGCCCCTTCCAGCTTGACTGTGAACTACTGAGAACTATTCTTTGGGAACAGTTTTCGAACCAGCATATCTCCATTTTCAATGAACATTTTAAGAAAATATACAAAACCATAAACACTCACCTTGCCAAGTCACCATACAAGCACAGTGAAAAAGGTTGTATCTGCCTCTAACTAGTTTGCTTTGGACTACTGTATTCAAAAACATATATTCTGTTAGATTCATCTGCTTGTGTCATATCACACCACTTTTTGGAGAGTCATCATAACAAAATGGGAGGACAGACATAGCTGGTCCATGTCTTTTGGAGAAGAGAAGAATACAGGAAAAGCAAGTGTATGACACATATGTGATTGCTCACTGTACAGAGCTATATGCAGGGTTTACAGCTGTGGCAGCTTTCTCCTCTGCCTTGTATATTGATATATTGTGCTGTTATAGCTTGTGACATCATATAGTAAAATACAAGGCTGTCAGAAAATGAAATTTATGAACTCTTAAGAATAACTTGCACTTATAGTACAAATCAGTAACACCCTTCCTCCGAACATCTGCTCTACAATCCTCAGTCTGTTAAATTACAGAACACTCCAAGACACTGAGAGGTTAAAGTAGCTTGTCCAAAATCACATAGGGTGTGATCCTGCAAGTTGCTAAGTGCCCTTAACTCCCACTGAAGTCAGTGCCTTACTGGAAGCATCTGTACAGAAGATAAAGATATGTATGTGTTATGCAACTGGACGGGAGTAATACATTTTGCCCGGAATGTTTGCAGCAGGCTAAAGTTTGTTGTTCCAGGATTTTCCACAAGAAGGCCACAGCCAGTTAGCATGCCCCCCACACCACACGCTGTTGTTTCCTTTTATGCACCATGGTACAAAGTGCGGAAGCATGGGTCAGGAATGTGAGTGGGACATTTTGCACAGGATATAGAACAACTGGTCTACACCTATAGCATGTGTCTGTGTATTAGCTGTGGTACACAAAGCTCCTCTTCTGCATTTTCTGCATGGTGCCCAGATTGCTACAAGAGAAATCAACGGTGCACCTCCTCTCTAGGTCATTCACAAATATTAAATCATTGTTTAAAGTTATCATGGTTAAAAAAATGACTAGAAGCAACACTAATCTCACCAATTTGGCCCGAAAACCTGCTATCATTAAGTTATCAATTCTATACAGGGACCCATTTTTAAAATTAATTTTAACTCAAACTAATTAATGAGCTTATTTCTACATTTTCAGAAGATTCCCTCTGTACAAATGACAGCTCTCTTTGACTTCAGTGGGGCCAGGATTTCACCCAGAAAGTAAGCACAATAGTTTTTGAGAGCATATGTTGTACTCTTCATGCCAAACAAAGAGACCGAATCCCTGCTTTGAGTGCAAAACTCAGCTCAACCTTAACAATGGAGTCATAATCAGCATCTCCATAACACAGCTGAAAAATTGAACTCCATCTCATGCTACAGGCCTCAATTCATGAAGTTCAGTTTGTGCAGAACAAAAGTATTTTTAGTTTACATAAATCATGAAGTTGTCTATTATCAGTTGATACTGCAAATGTGCCCATTGCCTGAGTTAATATAAGATGATCAGGTACAAAGAAAAGCTTTTCCATCAAGAGAGACTTTCCAGTCACTGAGTTGACATTGAGCAGGCTTCAGTGTACTTATTTGGATCTGAAATATCAGCTCCTGGAGAAAAATCATTTCGGGAGCATTATTTGATGTTCAGATTATCTTTTGGACAATTTAAATAGTGTCTTAAATCTAATTAATCACTTTTCTAATTTAGAGTCTGCTCTTGCAAACACCATGGGGTCAAATGCTTACTGTTGTTATTGTTCAGAAGTCAATGGCACCACTCACAGTAATAAGCAGTGTGGCCAGTATTTGTACGATCAGGCTCTTAATGTAGCTGAAACTGCACTTTCAAGTAGTTTTGATTCAAAAATGTGGATTACACTGCAAATGAGTTATAATCCAAACCATAATGAGTGCATTCTAATACCAATTTTTATTTATATCAAAATCCTCCCCTTTGACACTGAAGAAAATACTAAGAAATAAATAGCCACTAATCATGACATTGAGCGTTTTATAGGCTGGTGTTGCAAGAACACATTAACTAACCAAATTCCCAGAACACAGACTCTGTGGCAAATTACTTGGGTCAGAAGCAGTGCCAGGAGCACAGGAATGCTGGGGCATGAATAATGGCCATTGTGGGGCCAGGGGGCATCCATGCACAGACAAAGTGGACCAAGCCCCTAGATCTCAACCTGTCCCTGCCTCTGCAGTTCTGCTTGGGGAAAAACTCTTGAAGTAGCTTTCCCACAGGTCTGAACTGAAGCCAGAATAGGGTGGAATAATTTTGTCTACATGAGTCTCATTCCAGCAATCAATTTTAAGCCATGCACAGATAGTCAGATTTGGCCTACCGTGCTTTAAAACCTCCCAGGCCAACGTAACCACAGGGGAGCTCCATTGAGGTTAACAGATTTATACCGGGGATGCATTTTACTCTTTAATTTAAATTTACATAACAAAATTTGATGTACAGATTACAATAACCAAAGGAAATAACCCAACAAAACAATGGTTAAGTGAGGTTCTTCACTTTGTCACAGAAATCAGCACAAGCAAGGAGATTCAGAGTTGTAATTGATATTTCATTCTTCATCCATCCAGCAGGGTATTACCTCCCTACAGCTTATGGTCTTTTTGATAGTGTATGTTCTGCTCTCTTTCCTTAGCCATCTCTATTTTCTCTGCTCTTTCTCTATATAGTGCAATGGCTCTCCAGAGATTTATATTCAGCATTTTTTTTCATCTACTTTTGAATCTGAGAATGTTCTCATGAGAGCAACTACAAGTTTTACCTCACATGCTTGTTTTTTGGCAGTTGCTTGAATTTTTTCCTCCCACCAAACAACCTTGCACTGGAAAATACAAGTAAACTGACTAAGATCCAGTAACAGCTGTTCTCTGTCTGCTCAGTACAATTGTTATTGCATAGCATTACTGGCTCTGTAGTTTTAAAAAAAGTTCTACCTTTTAATCCGTTGCTAAACTGTAACAAGAGAGTATTTAGGAAAAAAAAATCTTCTGGGCATAACAGTATTTTTGATTTTTTTTTTTACCTGCATCTTGTTAAAATTATTTCTTTGTATGGCACTATTACTGTTACTGCCTCTGCTTTTCTAGTCAGCCTAAGGTGTACAGCATCTGTTCGTTGGTCAGCCAAGAATGAAGAGTAGGTAATGATTTTAAGCCACTGGTATGTGCTCTGCACGTGTAAATGGCACCCTAAAGAAACCTATATAGGTGTGAAAGAGGAAGCTGTGCACGCTATACTTGTGTGGGTTTTTCCCTCATTCCTCCCCTTTTTCTTCCTTAAAGAGATGTTATCAGGAAAAAAAAACAATCAAAACTTATTCTTCTGTATGTAATTAACACCCTCCCAAATGGAGTACAATCAGATTTACTTTTCACTGTCTCCATATTTCCAACCCCAAGCATTCAAAAATCATAAAGTCAAACCCCAACCAGTGATGAGACTGGTTTAAAAATCATGAGATTTAAAAATAATAAAGGTGGGTTTCTTTTTATTTGCCTTCTGGATTTTGTTCCTTTAGGGGGTCACATTT